TTTCAAGGGAGTAACAAAAGTTTCTTCATTTTTATTTTATAAATGTAAAAATTTTACATTCTAATTAAACCTAGATACTTGCATTTTACATATTCTAAAGTGTATGCTTGACCAATTCGGTTGTGATAGGACAATATTAAGAACAAAAATTATTGCGCACAAAATGTGAAGATGCCCCAAATTTACATAAAAAGAAAAACACGTTCGAATGTTACCATAGATGTGTAGGTACTACGTATACTCTTTGGCGATGCAGAAAATAATATCCTGCTAATAAATTTCCGTGAGAAATTGAAGTTACAGAAGACTGGAATGGAGAGGAGACGGCTAGGTCTAATTATCAATGTAAATGTGGTGGCGGAGAAACACTTCACAACTTAAAGAACCACGCAGAGAAAAGTGGCTCAAATTCATGTCGTTCTGGGTTGCCTGGAGGTCTTTAAATCCACATTTGACTAATTTCGTGATCATAACTGCCACTAATTAATTTTCACGCCTGAGCCGACAACCTCCGTTGGGCTGGTGGTAAGCGACAGACATATTGGTAAAGCTCATCGCAAGTTTCGATGATTGTTCGCAGTCCTTGGGCGAATATGTCGAAAGATGAGCAATGATTTGACTCTACATAGATACATGAGCTGCGGGTCCATCGAAACTTCGAATATGGTTAGGCTAAGCCGTGGCCTACAAACGATGATCTGGGTGCAGTTTCTGAGGCGTGCTTCTGCTTGTAGGACGGTCCCACTGTTTGCGGACAAATATGAAGCATATGAAGCATGCCTGCAGCGCAGACAATTCTGTCATAATGTTTTTGTAGCGAAAACCGTGTCTTGTTTCTGTCATGAGCAGTCTGACTACGTAACAATGTGAATATTTTACCTCATCTACATGAGCTGAGCACATTTCTTTCTCGAAATCATCCACTTAGAGTATATATATATATATAGAGAGAGAGAAAACATTTTCGATGCGTCCGGAATATTGTTAGGTTAGGGATACGTCCAGCTTTCGTCCCCGACTGCATAGCGTTACAAGATGGCCTATAGACGCTTTGAAATTACAGCCGCCATAGCTGACCTTCCCTTGTCTTACCGAGATGCCTAGCGACTGGAACGGGCGTTGACGAGCTTCCACAAAATGCTGTGCTGGGGATGGACATAGTATACACTCTAAAAAAAGCCCGTGAGTCTGCTTTCCCGCACAACACTCGGAGAGCCAATCACCGCAACTTATGGAGGCAGCTCAGCGAATGAAGATGCCGAAACATGTATTTAGACCAAAAAACGCAATCTGAGTTGTGACATTAAGCAATGCAAAACGTCACGCTTGCATTGCTTAATGTCACAACTCAGTCTGCGTTTTTTGGTCTAAGCAGATGTTTCAGCATCGTCATTCGCTCAGCTGCCTCCGTAAGTTGCGCTGATTGGTTCTCCGAGTGTTGTGCGTGAAAGTATACGCACGGACGTTTTTTAGAGTGTAGCACCTGAAGTTGCAATAACCTGTCCTGCTGTGGTAATGATAAAGCGAATTCATCGAAATAAGAGGAAACAAAAACGGAAGTCAGTTCTGGCTGCTTAAAACTCAGAGATGAAAACGTTTCTTTTCCGGCCTTGTCATTCGCCGAGCTCCTTCCCGGTAGATCGCTGTGATTGGACCTCCGGGTGCTTCGCGGCAAAGTAGACGCCATTCTTTTCGGGTGTTCGGCGCCGATCCCTTTGTGCGGAGGTGATTGTTTGGGCCTTGTGGTTCGGTTTACACGAGGCTTCCAGTAGCACATCCTGCCTCCAGCCTTTGTGTCATTGTTTTCGCACACCGCACGACCTGTGTGCTAGCTTCAATTTCAATCTGAGAAGTGAGCAGCGCCCGACTGATTGCACCTGTATGTATTAAAAAAAAAATGCATATTGGTTGTCGCTTCGATGGGTCGAAGCATGGTTCGGTCGTATACAGGCAAGCAAAAGAAAAAAGACCCATTTGAAAATCCCATCAAGCAACATTGGCGCTCGCCATTTCTCGGCCACGGAGCGTCTGATTGGACCCGAGTGCTCGCCGAACGCTGACGGAGAACTCGTGTCCAATAGATGTTCAGAGCCCCACGAAACAATGGCCGACTAGGATAAATAGCGCCGCAGCTACTAAATGACGCGTACTTTTGAAAACAAAAAAAAAAAAGGAAAAAAAAATATTGAAACAGTCGGGCTTCATGCACTTACCACGTGTAATTTCTCAATCAAAACCTTCCGCAGCGTGCAAAACGAGACATATTACGGCAGTTCGTTTCCATTTGTTTGTCGTTATACCCATATATAAACACAATTGTTTACTTAGTGGTGCGGGGCAATGCGCGTTTAAAGGGAACTATGCACACGCGACTTCTATGACAACCTATTATAAGGACGTGACATCCCGCCCCTGGACTAAAAGAAACGACACCTCCATGGCGACTGGTGGGAGAGCAATCGAGTCGTTGGCAATCACTCATTTCTCGCTGCCGTAAAAACTCTTCAAACATAAAAAAGGAATATAGGGGTACGTGCGGCATAAAATAAATAATTCTATTTTGTACGCTTTTGTCTCTCATGTAGTATTATTTCAAGTTCACCATCCTTTGGGCTCTTTTTTTTTTATTGTCGTCTCTAAACCATGAAGACAAGTGCTTACGTTTTGTAGGTCACGTGTTCTTACGGTTGCGAGTACTGGGGTATTTTTTTAAAAAAATTCTTTAGACTGGTGCTGTAAGTACACGTTCACACTGTAAACAAAATCTAAACCCGGTGTACGATCTCCCTAACCCAGCACGAGCGTGTTGGGAGCCTTGGAAAGCGAGCATACCGCACGCCGCGGGAACGCTCAACTTCTGCCAGAGTCCAGAAGACCTTTTCTGGAATGTTCGTTAAAAGGCGTTTGCAAAGTCCCTAATTTGAAGATAAACAAAAAACGTTCTCATCGACCTTTTCGTTCCTCGTCGAGTGATTGTACGACAGTCAGTCAACCCCCGACGGTAGAGCAGCGATTGTTGTAGCACTTCGGACAGCAAAGAGTGCGAGTCAGCACAACCCTTCTCATGCCCGTACCTGCCCGTACCTGTACGTTGATGAGGAATGTACCCGAGCCGACCTTTTCTTAACCCTACAATGCATGGCTTCGTATTTTTATATGAAATTATTTAGGAGCGTTTGCTACTACGAAACATAATTCTAAAACTGTCGAAAAAGTACGTGTATTCAAATGTTCAGACAAAAGACGCGTAAGTACTTCATTTATCCTATCTGGTACACGATGCACTGGTGCCCCATCGGTGGTGGATGCGGCGAAAACAGTTTCTGTCTTTGTTCAGGCACAGCCCAACAGCAAAGTTGTCGCAATTTTCTAAGATGAGTGACGCACACTCTGGAAGTTAGAGGCACTGGATGCCTGGGAGTTGGGCTTGCCGCAAATCTTTCCGATGTCAGCAAGCCGCGCATATGAGAGCCGGGAAGCCAAATGGCTCAATCCGGAGGAGTAGTTCCCAAACAGGTAGAACATGCTGTTCACACGTCGTACAAAACATAAGGAGTTCGCTGCAGGCACCACGATGGAATCAAGCTTGTTTTATGTACGCTTCCAGCTTGTCTACAGGGCAGTCTTTGTGTGACCGTCACGCGACGAATGCCTCAGACTGCCATTTAAATTTCGAGTTCATAGGTGGCCCACGAACCCCAACTCCCCTTTAAGAAATAAGGCTTTCTTTTAAAAGTAATGTCATCAGCGTGTACGATCATCTCGCTTACAGACTGACGCGTGCCGACAGCCCCGAATCAGTCACCGCTCCCGGAATATGGACCATTGCTTGGAAAGAATGAGCTGTTTTCGTCAATCTCCCAGCGACCATGACTCCGTCTTCCTCGCTCCAGAGAGAGAAATCCCGACAATCGCAGAGTCGAGGAGGCGTGAAACAACGGGTGGACACGGAATGTTTTCCAGGAGAAGGGCGGTAAGGCCGCTCCCGGTAGCTTCAGGCACGGCAATCAAGTCGGCCACGGAACGCTCATTTCCTCGGCCGAAGCGAGCGTGACTAAAGAGCACGGAGGAAATACCGGAACTCGGAAACTACGCCGGCAAAGGATGACATCCTTCCTGACGAATTGTTCCCACTCCCCGCCGCCGAGAGTTTCCACAGCACGGAATATCAAAAGGTATCAAAACAATTTCGCCGGCCGCTCGCTTTGTGCACACCCGCCATTAACAATGCGGACAGATTTGCGTAAAGTCTCGAGAAAGCGTGAGGCTCCAGTGAAAGGGCCGCAGGGACATTTTGAACCGAAGGCCACGCGGAAAAAATCGGACGCCCGTCTCGCCCGTGTCATAGACTCCGCAACTCTTTCGAAGCACGCTGAGGTCATGACACCGACGGCCGGCCGTAATAGCCCCGGAGAAGAGAGCTCGAGTTTCATCATCACTTCCCAGTCGCGACATGACGCCGCAATTTTATTTTAATCTAAAAAATAATTCGAGCCGGTTCGAGCGATCCACGAATAGAATTCAAAAGATGAATACGTTTCTTCGACAGAGCCGCGATCTCTACTCGGCCTGTGTACACACAAAGGAATCGCGAAAAACAAAAATCACAGTAACGAATCGTCGATGACAAAAGGTTCCGGTTGTTCGGGGTCATCGCGGATACGTAATCCGCGTAAACGGGAAATCGATTCTTCGTGCAGAGAGACGTGGCGGTACTTTTCCAAGGGCGGCCGCGTGTGGCGAAAGCCCAAAGGACATTCGAACAAAACTCGCGATCGAACGCGGCAACACCGCAAGCCTGCGTCGGCCCGACTACAAAGCCGCTCGCGGACCCCACCCGTCCCCAAACTCGCGTAACCTCCGCCATAGCGAGTGGGGTCCAGAAAGAAGGGGGCCGCAGGAAGGAAGCGAGAGAGCCTGATGACGTCACCGAGCGCCGACGCAGCGACGGCGCCCTCTGGCGCAGCGGCGGCTCAGCACGGCGAGTGTGTTCCGCCCAGGCAGCAAGGAGCGAGCAGCAGCGGAGGAGCCGACGAGCGTCAGACCCGCGCGGACAATGTGGATGTGGTGAAGCGGCCGACGGGACACAGCAGCCAGTCACCAGCGAGGCACACCGAGACCCGCGTCGTCCTCCCGTACAGCCGAAGAACCCTGCCGAAAGACCATCAACATGGTGTGGGTGCGACGAGGTTTTTGTTTGGTTCTCACGGTGATCGTCGCCCTGGGACGCGCCGAAAACGTCCTGGATGCTATCCGGAACGACGGGGAACTCTCGAATGTGAGTAGCCTTTCGTGTGGCTTTCTCTGTTCGTTTAACCATCCTCGAAACTTCGTGTGTCTCGAGTAGAGGGAACCTACTGGATGTTTGAAAGGGGAGCCGGGTGGAGGGACTGCGTCCGGGCGGTCCAGGAGGGACAACCACCGACCGGGTTGGCGAAGAGGAAAGGCTGTCCGTCCGACTCGCCGAGCGCGGCCTTCCTCCGCCCCATTCCCGCCTGTTTCGCCGGGGCAGAAGCGCCGTTTGCAAACCTTCGCCCAACAGGAAACGAACATCTTCGTGCCGAAGAAAAAAGAAAGACCGTTGGAGTAATGGACGCGGGGATTTCTCGTCGACGAGGAAAACCAAGGAGCTCGCTCCGTCTTCTTTTTTTTGTTGTTTTCCTCGTTCGCGCGCCTCTTGTCGATTGAAAAGAAAAGGATCAAACACTCGGTATTTGAAGGCCATCAACGAGTACGTCCGACGAAGTGCAGAATTTGTGTAGGCTCGCTTAGAGGGCGCGAAAAACTGAAAACATCGTACTTCCGAAGAGCGAGTTTGTGGGTATCGATCGCCACGGCGCGCGCATGTTTCATTCGGACAAAATTACACAAACACAAAGGCACGAGACAGACCCTGGGACTTTTTTTTATATTTTTTTTCGCTCGGAACTTTTTGAGGTCGGCGAGGTTCCGAGCACCCAGCCAAGGTCCGGCTGTCGGCATCGTGTTTCATAGTCAGCTCTATTTTAGGCCTACCCACCCTCTCCCTTGCTCGAGGCACAACAACTGCCCGCGCGGTGGTTCGGCCGCACACCATTTGGCGCCCAACGCGGGGCCGCCGCCGGCCGGGAGCGAGGCGCGCTTTCAAAACTCGTGCCGGCGCCACCGAAGCTTGCCTCGCGCACAAAGCTTCGTCACGCTTCCCATCCTCGAAGCCGAACAAAAATATCCGAAAGAAAAAGAGAGAGGGGATGGGGGTACACGTACGACCGCGCCCATCTTTCTGCCGACAATCGGGGGGGAAAGCACCGCAAAACCTCCGCTCCCAACGTTCGTTTCCCAACTTGGCGTGTCCGGCTGTAAACTATCGCGCCATTTTATAATGGCCCCAAATGCCCGATTAGAAATTCGTATAAGGTCGTTGGAAGAGGAGGGTGGGTGAGTCGACAGGTGGGCTGACTCATCAGGCTGCTTCGCTCGCGTCCCTTTGTGGCGCCTCACGGACGGTGGACCGGGCCACTGCCGGCCCGTGCCGACTGCGCAGGGACGCGAAACGTTGACTTTTTCTTCTCTTTTTGTTTTCTCGGTCTCCCCTTTGTGAACCGCGTCCACCGGTGGGGGTACGAAAGGGGGGCGGCTCCCCCGGCGAGATGCAGCCATGTCGGTTCCTGCCGAGAGCGTCATGGCGGCTGTCGGCTCGCCCCACCGGGTCGATCGAACGGGGCTTGCGGCGCGTCCCACTGGCCCAGCTCCCAGGCGTGCCGCAGCGAGGGCTAGCGGGGACGGGCCGCAGAGTCCGTACTGCTCGGTCTCCTTGGGCCCATCTCGCGGACGAAAAGCACCCGCTTCTGCGGGCATTCTTTAAAGCCCCAGTTAGTCCACTCGTACATCGTACAAAAGGCACGAGGTCTGAACTATCTGCGGAAACCGCTCGAGCATGTTCGAAGTACGCTTGCTTCGTACATACGTATGCTTTCGTCCGCACACAGTTTTTGTATACGACCAATGTGAGTGTCATACGAAGAAGAAACACGCCTCAGCGTCTGCCTTTTTGTAGGACGTATTAGCGGTGCGACCTCGGCTAACAAAGGGATGTTGGTCACTGATGGGAGAAGCGTACAGCCGCCCCTGAGTATGATATCAAAGTCTGGGAAGTGTCCTCACAGGGACGCGAATGGCAGAAAAGATGAGCTCGGTGAACTTGAAAGTGAACGTATGTGGACGGGCGGTTTAGGATATTCGTAGGCCGGCCATCCAGTGTGTTCGAGTGAAGGCGATTTTATCGTATTTTATTTATTGACGTAGTGCCAGCCGTCTACAGGACGGATACAGGAGTGGGTAAAGGGTACAATGAACACATGACCCTAATACGCAGTCAGTGAGCAGCGTACAAAGAAATATATATAATCTGGGGCGCGCTTAATACTAGAGTAGACAAAAAAAAAGAAAAAAAAATCAGTTTTGAGTAGTTTCTGCTGCCGCCGTGCAACGATCATCGAACCTCTTTTCCGAGTCCATTTTGTGGGACGATGGCGCTCGTGACGCGTTTCAGCATATTTCCGGGTCGCCTCATCTATGGTTTCACAGATCCGTGGAAGACTAACTCCATGGAGCGAAATATGCGACGAAGAACTGAACAACCTCGCCCGACGGCAGGCTCGCTTGGCGCGCAACCGAGCAATGCTATGGATCGCGCGTAGCGAAAGCCGCGAAATTCGTCGATTTTTTTCGGAGCATATTCGCCCCATAGACAGCTTCCGTTGATGCAGACAGAGCTGGCAAGACCAGTCTCCATAAGCGAGATGAACTATGTCGTCTACGACGGTCGGTGTGGTAAACAGCGCTAGAAGCGCCTAAACCCGCATTTCAAAACATCCCGCGCCCGTGTTTTGTTATTGCGAAATTTGAGTGGTCGGTCTGGAGAGGAAGTGGATGCGTGTATGTAAGGGACTCACGTCATCCTCAGAGCGGGGCGTGGGTGAGCCATTTGAAACGAGCCTGCCGTGCCGCAGGATTCTTTCTTTTTTGTTTACTCTACTGTTTTAGTCATACGGCGGCAGCCAGGAGTGAGATAAAGCTTTTGCTCTAACTAATAAGAAGTCCGCTTTCTCGACGTAATAACAAAATGTGTGCTCGTTATTTACGTTGAAGGCAGTTGTTCACATGTATTGTTCCTCTCGACGAATCGGAGCGTGCTGACAAGTTTGACGAATAACAGGAAAGCGGCACAAAGGACGAAGACAGGAAAGGTGTTTGTCCTGACCTCGTCTTTTATATTACTTTTATTTTTATTTATTTATCGATACTGCCAGCCCAATATAGGGCCAAGGCATGAGTGGGCTGCAGTGTCATACATGCATATTATAAACACGACAGTTCTAAACAAAAAGCAACCTTAGCACCGAAAAATAATATGTACGACTTATTCGAAAGAAGACAATCAATCAATGTCAACAGTAATACAGTAACCAAATGTAATACTAGTAATAACAAATTATATTATCTACGCATTCTTCTTTACTACGTTGATATACCTCTCCTTCTACTACTGCTTCGGGGTACTGCATCATTGTTAAAATAACAAAACAAAACAAAAAAAAAATAAGAAAAATGGGTGCGAGTTGGTACTTCAGAAAGGTGGGTCTGCTATACGGCGGAAGTATTCTTGAAAGCTACCAATTCGCCTTTACTCAGCAGGACAGAACATGGAGATGTACCCTACGGATATGGTTCTCTGTTATAATAGCACGCTATTTGATATTAGTGAAGTAAAAGTACATGGTACAAATACAAGGGATTAAATACCACACGGTATTTAATCCCTTCCGTAGTCTTCAGTAGTAGCAAGCAGACGGAGCCGCCGGGAGGGCTTGATAAGCAGACGAAAAACTCCCCTCCGCATGACGCGTCTTGGCGCACTGATACGTACGACAAAGCAAATATACCACGTGGTTTCCAACAGGCTAGTGATTGGACTCGGTGGCCTGTAGCACTGGGCTTTAGTCCACCGTAGGATGAGACGGAGATTTTCAGGCGCTTACAAAAGGAGCTTCGCACGGCTGCTTGTGGGAGTCTCTCTTGCGTCGCCGTCAAAGTACGTCTTTTGTTACTTCATGTTTCTCGGCACAAGTTCGTCGTATTAAACGTTCATTTTAACTTTTATTGATCGAGTTAATGTTTTTATTCGTGACAATATAGCCAACAATACATACACAGCCCCTTGAATCGTCACCGCGGGGTTATTAGTACAATAAAAAACACCTGAAAGGTTCGGGTTCTTTTCCGACGTTATCGTTCGAGTCGTGTCCTTTACGTTATTTCAATTCTTGGCACCTACGAACCGATATGTCCCGATCTGAATGGGAACTACAGAAAAAAGAAAGGCTTCGATTAGCGGACACGATTGATTCCCGCTGCGCTGAATCAGTGTTCCGAAGACATCGGGCGAAAGCAAACCGCGTCCGCGCAGTCCACCCTTTACATCTTACGTAAGCGTATTTCAAGGACGTGACCCGCATTATTCGTCGCTCATTTCACGAAAATATACAGTACCAGTCGCTCACAGCATCTTATTATCGCTGCCAATAACGGAGTAGCGTAAGCCGCGAACAACAAATCGCGAGTGTTTCTTGAACCCTCCGCGTCAAAGGTCCCTGTGTGCACACTTCACCGCACCCGACTCGGAAACCCTGGCGCTTGGTCGCTCCGCTAACACCGATCCTACAAAGTACAGTCCGCAGACACTGTCCGAGGCATTCCTCGTATGACGGTCACACTGCCTGCAGACAGGATAAACGTGCTTCCAACACACTCGAGGCGTGTCCACAGTCATCGCGTCTGTAGCGAACGCGGTCTCTTTTGTATACGGTGTATCGGCAGTGGGACTGTATCTTCTTTTATTCAGCCTAGTGAATGTCATAGACAGGCGGTATACACTGAGGGGGCTGAATGACGCATTGAGCGAACAGGTATGACGCCACCGGAAGTGAGCGGCTTGTCCCGGAAGTGAGTGCTCGATAGGCTTTTTGACTCTTCCGAGTGCTGGTTCGAACAGCGTTCGGGGGGCTGGATTTTTTTTTCTCGTCACTCCGAGAGAGCCTGCTTGTTGCGCAAAGCCCGAGAAGTCTCCTCGCAAGCCATTCGATGCGGAAATTTCGAGATTCTGTCGGGTGAAGTGTGCGTTATCGAGGTTTATTGAGATTTAATTCAAAACGGAATTATTAAAACCCACTCGAAGACACACACACAAAAAAATATATCACGGACTAAAACATTGATTGAATGCACTTGGAAGCCTAG